ATCCAAAACCGTAAAGAAACCTCTGGTCCCGTTAGAATTACCAGAGAAATACAGCTTGCAATGAGAAAGAGAACAAGCAAAAATGCGAATAAAAACAGTAGGGTCGATCTAATTTTGAGACTGTTGTACTTACAAGATGGAGAGTAAGGAGAAGGTGATATATACAGTTTTGTAGAGCGAACTTTGCTCTATCCAATGGTATATTATTCGAAAAGATTATGATAATTTACTGTGGAGATAATGACCAAATACTGGCATACCAAATTTTTCAAGAAAAATAGAAATATTTTTCAAAACCTATTGAGGGTGCATTCAGTGTGTGCTTCATAACTTTTCAAAGGTAAGTCAGAATGAGCTAAAATTTTGGATTTATAGGTTTCTTACTTCGCTCTTTCATTTCCAATCATAAAATATAGGGGTCAAAATTTTCGAGAGTATGGCCCTGTTGAAAAATTCTCGATTTTCTCGTGGACCCTCTCTTAAGTTTTAATCTAGGAGATATTGAAGGCATGAAAGGTATAGATGAAAACAGAAACACCCACGAAAACAGACACAGGGCGTCTGTCCCTCTTGAGGGTGAGGGCGAAACACACACAGGGCATCTCTCTCACTGAGGTTGCGGGTGAAACCATGGCATCTCTTTCGCTGAGGGTCAACGGGAAACAACTATGCAAAATTCCGATTATTCCTAAATTCCGATAATTCCAAAATTCTGATCGTTCCAAAATTCCGAAAATTCTAAAATTGAAATTATTCTTAAATTCTGATTATTCCAATTATTCAAAGATTCTGTTAATTCTAAAATTCTGATTTTTCCAATTATTCAAAAATTCTGATAATTCTAAAATTCTGATTATTCCAAAATTGCAAAACTTTAGTCATTCTGAAATTTTGATTATTCTAGAATTCTAGCATTTTGGAATAGAGCCACGTCTCACTTGTTAATTAATACTAACTAAAGATATCTAAATTGTGCAATACTTGTTTACTTGTATAAAATACATTTAGCTATGGCTTATTCTATGTATCCGTCGGCTGATCACTATCAACAGTCAATGCCTAGTCGTCGACGATCACTTGTAACAAACATTGAACCAATAAAATGAAATAAAAGAATAATCAAGGATATGTAATATCATGATTGGCTTATACAGAAAACAATGTCCGTCGGTGATGAATAACACGAAACAGGATGTATATGTAGCTGCATATTGCAAACAACTATTCAAACACACACATCATGGTGATCCGTTTCGAAGATATACCTGATGAACTGCTGTTACTCATTTGTCGTCATCTAACTTGGCTCGAAGTAATGAATGCATTCTATTTATTGAATATTCGTTTTAGACGTACGATTTCTGACTATCGTTACTATATTTATTTACCATCAAATTTAACCTATGTTCAATTCAAAGAATATCGAGACAAATGGTTGCCCATGCTCAAACCTCACACACTTTATATTCAAAAATCCATACATTATACATTACTTCATCCACTCTTTGGTAAGATATTGAACAACTCGAAAGACGAAACTCATTTGAATCTGCTTATATTTCAGAAAAATGTCTATCATCGCTCGATACACTTGTCTTGTGGTCAGTCAAATCTAATTTAAATCCACTGCCACCTCTTTCACTCAAACGTCTTCGTATCCATTTCGACAGCGGCTACGATCATTGTTATAAGCCCATTACTCATTATTTTCTCAATGCATCCTCTCAACTCACACATATACATATTACTGTGAAGTATGTCAATGGTATTCGAATATGGAAAAATGAACAGTGTCTCAATGGTCCACCGTCCATTGAACCTATCCATTTGCCTCTTCTTGTCAATGTTGTTCTGCATGTTATGTTATATGACGATATTGTCCGATTATTACCACGTTTAATCAATGTCAAATATCTTCAATTGACAATAAGCAAGCCATTAACAAAGATGAGAATCATGTCAATATCAACATTGAAACGTGTTCAACTCGATCATCTAATTGATTTTCAAATGTATATTGGTAGCAATATGAATATCAACGAACAATCTGTTCCATTCAGTGAATTTGTGGTCATGTGTTTGCCAATAGCATTGAATCGTCAACTTCAACGATATGCAATTACAGTCGAAATATCTCAATGTAAGTTTTATGTCCTCTATTTCATGAGATAACTCAATAAACCATTTATTTGAGCATTGCTTGAAATAATAATACTTCTAATGTAAATGTTATCCGAATACAAGAGAAAACAGTTAATGAGTTTCTTACACATAATGTCAGATATCTAAGTTCGATTTCCTACACGCTGATCTCCAAGAACTTTTCAAAGTAAAGCTTATATATGAGCCGAAAAACCTGTAAGACAAATCAGACTTGTTTTACAACTCTTTGAAGTTGAAGAAATGTGAAAATTTGAAATAACTTTCGGTTGATTAACTCTTCTGTCTCTCATTATTTAGTCGATTCAACTTATCTGAATGGTAATGCCTGGCATCAAATATTTTTGTCCTCCACAAATAATTTATCCATTGTTCGTCTGAACCTTTCGTTACCAGTTAGATTTGCTCGTCACCATCATCCAACGCTTCTTGCTGAATATATTCATTGGCTTCCAAACGTGTTTTTAACAGTCACAGATTCTAACGGTATCTTTTATTGCTTATCCAATGATATCAAGCGTCAAATGCAGCCATTATGTTCATTTCAATCTCGTTCATCTTTAACATCGTTATGTTTCTGTCCTAAAATACTACATTACTCATGGTTTAGGCACTTGAATATTCCTAAAACCAAATTTTGTATATACAGCAATGTAGGTAAAATTCATGATGATTTGCGTTCAATTGAATTATTAGCGTCTATGCCAAATCTTTGCACGATTAAGCTTTATCCAGACCGATCGATAAAAACACTCTATTTATTCGATGCTCTATTGCTACAAAGAGTTTTCGAAACAATTCAACTCAATAGAAAAATAATACGAATAAACGTCCCAATACCTCGAAAAGGCAATATAAGAAAACAACTGCTACGATCACCCTATTTATGGCTGAAACAATATGTACCTTATTTGACGACACATGACTTCTTTGTTATTTCGAAAAAAGGTTTTGTATATATTTGGTTATAGAGTGAAAGAAAACTTTGTATATTCTTTAATAAATACATAAGACTTGTGTGATATGCAGGTACATTTGTTTTGTATTTATTACATTTGCAATGCATTCATTGAAAATTTTTCAGTGTTTTCACAACAGAGAAGATATGATTATGTAAAAATCAAAATAATCGAAATTCCTATACTCTGGTATCCATTTTCAAGTTGACACTTGTTCAAACTCATGCTATCAAATACTTTTCTGTATTTCGGAATTTGATCATTTGGCTGATTTAGAAGAATTTCGAAATCATATATAACTTTCATTTACATCATATACTCATTTAGGATGACTGCCATCAGTCGAATTCAAATAGCCAAAGCAGAATTCATTGGAATTATCTAATGTCTCGAATGATTATACCCTATATATTTATCGATTGTTTCGATACAATCAATTATTCTATCTGTCACTCTGACTCATAAAAGGCAGTCGGACATGAGAGGAACGATTGACTTGCTAGTGTCATTTAATTCAAAAATGTTTATTTAACGATAAATTATTTAATAATAGACAAAAATAACATTAGATAGTATGTGTCATTGAAAAACTTTTAATCAAAATACGTTGACCAAGTATTACAATCAGATTTTATTTTTTTTTTTCGTTTTTTGTATTATTTGTTCTCAATTAACATTAAATAGTCGAAGTTTTAAAGTTTAGAATAATGTGATAAGACGTCAAAACTTTGTATGCTTCGATATCTATTTGCTAATATTTATTTTTACAACGAAACATTTGTGAATTTTTCGTTGAACCATTATTGAAAATAATTACTATGTTAAAGGGTGGGATGGGGAGAACAAAAAAAAAAAAGAAAAATAGTTGAACAAATAAATATTTGAGATGATTATTTTTTAAATTGATGAATGAATATAATTTTAATGAGGTAGCTCGGATTTAATTATAGTCTTTTTAAAATTTGTACGTAAACAAAGCGCGCCTTATAAAGATTGTTTACGGCAGTAAATCCTGTATACGATCGTAAATATCATAAACTCCGATCGAAAGAGATAGCGATAGAGCAAGTTACCTTTAATAAGTGTAGAACCTAATCAAGTCAGTTCGAATATTCGACTAGCAATAGTTCGTGCACATACACTCATTATATGAAAAACGTTGTTGATTCTCTCTCTTGCCTTTTCTTTCTCTACTATCATATGCAATGATTGCTTTTATTTCAACAGAATTCAATAGATGTAATAGGCAAGAAATGAAGACATAGCGATCAACATGTTGTGGTATTATGAGTATGGGACGCCACCTATGGACTGTCGTAACGAAATCCATGTATAATGTGGAAATCGTCAATTGACAAACTCACAGAAAATTTATCAATTGAAAAAGAGAGTAACTGAAAATATATGTAACTATAATACTAATAAAAATATACAAACGATAAGAGTAAACTGACAAATAATTGACGATGACTGCAGAATACCACCAGTTCTAATTTGCATAAAATACGTTTAAGTGAGTGTTCTGAAAAAGTAATTGTAATTTACTTTTAAATTATGTACTGAGCGATTTCATCTTTGGTTCGATAAAAAAAGTTGCGTTGCCGATTTCGATTTCCAAAAAAAGCCGACTTTGCCTATTCATAGTGCACGTGTTACTTTCAAGATGGGGAAATGAATTTTTTTGTTTCAAACGATCTGTAATAGAAAGTAACTTCAAATCATCATTTTTAAAAAAACAGAGAAAAAAAAATATTAACAATAAAATGAAAAACTATGAATCATACGTGCATAATTTTTCTTTTCTCCCATTTCACAACTGCAATGTAATCACATGTTTTCATACCTTTTTTTGTTGGTGTTTTTGCCAACGTGTATAACAACATGGCGCAATGTGTTTTCAATGCACGAACAAGTCGTTATTTACCAAAGGATCTTGGATCTGTAATAGCAAATTTTGAAACAGATTCATTCCATTATGATCATACAACTAATACACTTAATTGTAAATTATTCACAAAAAATCCATATCGTTCATATTTTAAACAAGTTTATCCAAGAATAATCAATGAACATGAATTAACAGATGATATGTTAAATGTTTTAAAAACATATACAGATAACCGTTCAAATGAATGTTATATGAAAACAAATTTAAATCTATTAAGTGCTAATTTACAAGATATTGATTGGACATATGTTAATAAATTACGTTCGCTAATACGTGGTTTAGTTCAATCAAATATTAAACATATTTATTATCGTGGATTACATCTTAGTGACCAAGAAATTCAATATTATATGGACAAACGAAATGAATATTATTATACAAATTCATTTCAATCATTTACAATAGATCGTTTACTTGTTTATTCGGGTAATGCTACATTAATTTTAAGAACAGATACATGTAGTGAGAAAGCAAAAGTTAATCTAGCAAATATATGGAAATGGAGTACATTTGTTGAAGAAAAAGAAGCATTGTTAGCTGTTGGAACAAAATTAAAAATTTTAACTGTAAATTATTTTGGTTATAAATGGGAAATTGAAGTTGAATTAGCTGAAGATGATTTTGAATCTGATCTTGAAGAAAAACAACTGACGAATGGGACTAATTGATCATATGTGGATTCAAAATATAAGAAACTACCTTTTTTGTGTTAAATGGTCTGTAAGCAATTTGAAAGTAAAAGTGTCTAAAGCATGGATTTCTTGGTATTTGAAAAGAGTATCTCGAAAATACTACTGGTCTGTCCCACGAGGTTTCAACCACGAAAACACATGAGATCTTGAAATCGATAAAAAGATATCCTATCTTGTAGAACCCGATGAGTTGTGTCTACAGTAAAAAAAATCAGCTTTAAAGACTGTCCTTGTAGGGAGGTATAGGTCATACAAGTTTAGCTGGAAATTGCTAAAACTTGTTTACTAAACTTTGTGGTCTTCACTTGTTCAATATTTTATGGATAAAAATCAATTCCGGTTATATATTCTTGTTCTCCATGATCTGGTGCATTCACTCATGCATTGTTTTTTATTTTTCATAAATCTAATAAAAATTCTTTCGGAACTATACTGGTAATCTATGGCAAACAGTAGTGCGTCAAACTCAGTCCTTAGCAAGTCCCTTAAAACCGATTTCAGTTTGGTAATGTAGTAGGTATTGTAGAGCAGAAGTCGCTCTATCAAACCTATATTTGGAATTTTATATCAACTTGAAATTATCGAAATATAGATATCAACTTTTTTTAAAGTGATAATCTGTAATTAAAGAAAACCTTTGGATTCAGAGATTTTACCAAACGAAGTTTATTCTAATAGATGATCAAATATAATCAAAAAAGCAATTATATATCTAACGTAAGATAACACGTTACTTGAGGCATGAAAATGTGTATTTTAGTCGGGTATTGATACATCTAGAATGAATATAAAAGAATTAAAAAAAACTACTACGATAATTAATTAGAAGATATACCTGAGACAAATGCTACTTGTTTTTATCTGAGACTCATCCCTTCTATCATTATTGCATATATTGATAGAACCACAAGCGTTTCTGACCGACTCTATCACACTTGGTTTTCTTTTTTCATTTGCCGTGTATGGCGGGCTTGGTTAGTGATGAAAGCAAAATATAAATCTCATAAAACTTTTTCCTGGTGTTCAAATTTTGACTCTGTCTCTCAACACCAGCGAAGATCGAAACAGCAATTCTTCATTACAGATGCATGTTGGGGTGTGGGTGTTGGTGGGTGTGGTATGTGTAGGTGTGGTTGTGAGTTTTCACTTCATCGACAGCCACTCATACCCACACCCACACCCCGTAATAATATTTTTCAACAATTTTGTGATAAAAATGCCTTCTGTATGTCTTTATAAAGATTTTAAACATTTGACATGTATGTTAAGTAAAGTATATAGTTAAATATTCTCAAATTTCAATCATAAATAATACCTTTTCAAGAATATGAAATAGAAAAGTCTATATTAACATAATTTCTTTTATTAAATAGATGGTCGTATAACATTAAAAGATTTTGAACGTCAATCAAGTATACTTCTTGGAGAACGTATAAATCTTCTTGTTCCATTTTATTCTTCATCAAATAATTCTTTAAATACAAATAGTAATGAATTGATTATTGAACTTCGTCGTGAAATAGAAACATGTCGTATTACAATTGATGAACTTCCAACAAAAATTTTAACTTGTGAAAAATCTCAACGTTTAGCAAATGTAGTTGAACTTGAATATGAAGATTTACTTAAATTTTTATATGAACAATTACATCAATATAAAATAAATGAAATAAATCAATTAAAACAAATACGAACAAATGATCAATTAATACAAAAATTATTTAATTATTTATCAATTTATGTTAATAAACCAAATGATGAACATATATTCGCTCAACTTAAATTTGAACATGAACAACAACAAAAATTAAATCAGAACAGTAATGATATATCAATTAATAAATATCGACAACAATTTTAATAATTCATCTATTATATTTTATTTCAATTTCATCAATTTCTTCTTTTTTTTTCGTCATTTTGCTTTTCTTTTTTTTTTTATAATTGTATTACTTACATTTCAATTCAATATGAAATGAAATTGAAATAGATGTTTCTATTAAAAATGAAGGAATATTGTGAATAAAGATTTATTGGTTAACTTGAAAAAGATAATAATACCAAAATAAATTACTAATGCACTTAGTACTATAAATAATATAAAAAAAAGACATGTTATCTTCTTAGCATACCTTTTTTTTTATCCTTTGCTTGTGTCTCGCAATATCAACAATGTTTTTATTTAATTTAATTCTTATTTTGTTTAATATTATTCAAATTGATAGTTCATTTGAAAGATGTCGTCAAACATTTGGTTCGAATAAATATGATCTTAATCAATTAAGTCATTTAACAATTCTTGGTGAAGAAAAACCATATCGTTATGTTCTTACTCCTTGTGGTCTAGTACCAACAGATAAATGTGGAAGTAGCACATTACCACTTGAACAAGGCATGACTTCATGTCAAGAAAAAATTTCAGAAGCTACGTTTGCATCAGCTATGGGCTTTCTTGATGGATATGGAAAATCACCTAATCTTGAATTTAATGAAAATCCTCAAGGACCAGGAACTGGAATTGTTATGACTATGCGTAATGCTTTATGTAACAGTGACGAACGTTTTGTTAACGTTACATTTATTTGTGACAAAAGTATTAAACAACCAACAAAAATGAATGTAGTTGAAGATCCTAAATGTAAATTTACGATCATAATAATAGCTGCTGAAGCTTGTCCTATTAAAGAAGGTATTACAGGTGGAGCTATTTTTATTATTATATTGTTTGTTTTAATTATTATCTATTTGGTTTGTGGAATTTTATATAATCGATATAAACAAAATCAAACAGGCTTAGCAGTTATACCAAATCTAAGTTTTTGGCTACTTCTAGGTGGTATGTTTGTTAATGGTTGGAAATTTACTTGGAATTTTGTTCGTAATCGTGGTCAAGGAACATTGTCATCGTCAGTGTCATATGGATCTGTATAGGTTTTTTTTCATTTTATTCATCAACTATAAAGTAACAAATTAATGAGTCGTTTTTTTTACTATGATAATTCACATACTTGTGTTATTTAAAATGTATGATTTATTATCTTCTAATATAAATAATAGTTGTTGTATAATTGATTATTATGCATTCTCTTTTCTTATTTAAAAACTTGTTCAATGTTCAGAATTCTTTTTTTCTTAATTGTAAATATAATGACTTAAATGAATCATTTGTTTTGAAAAATGAAAACAAAATCTTCAAAGATGATTTTTTTTCCCTATGAAAGGTCATAATGACTATGAATACACCTAATGATGATAACAATGTTTGATAAGTACAAGATATCATTTTCATGATGAATAATTTTTTTTGCATTGCGTTCAAATGAAAATATGTTACTCCTCGTTA